TTAGAAATAAAAAGATTAAATTAAACTGCCATTTCTGTACCACTTTATTATAATCTTATCGTTTTCGCAGAGTGAAAAGACAAAAATAAATCGTTATTACCGTTATTTACGAAAATTATTCAAGTTTATAGATTTACTATTACAAGATGTAGACAAAAGTTTATGTACTTAAATGACGTGTTAAATTGTGCACGTGACGTTTAGCAGCCGCGGGAATTCCCGTAACGTTATGGTGCGTCAGTAAATAAAAAACAACTTTTATATGGTCATAGTGGGGAAATGTGTAGTTCATTATCATCTATATGCTACCTTGATGCTGCCTAGATCCTACCTAGATGCTATGCTACTAGCTGTCTGTCATTTAACCTACCTTGCTATTTGCTACGTATCAGTGTCGCAAACTTCTACATACCTGTCTTGCTTTATATCAGTATCGCTATTTGCTAAATACCAGCCTAGTTTTATATCAGTATCGCTACTTGCTACATACCTGCCTTGTTTTATATCAGTATCGCTACTTGCTACATACCTGCCTAGTTTTATATCAGTATCGCTACTTGCTACATACCTGCCTTATTTTATATCAGTATCGCGACTTGCTACATACCTGCCTTGTTTTATATCAGTATCGCTTCTTGATACATACCTGTTATGCTACCTACAACAGTCTAAAAACACAGGCAAAGCACTACATCAGTTATCCTTACGAGACGAAATAAGCAAATTATTTATCATCAAAATTAGCCGGCGTAACAAACGAAGACGTCGATAGAAAAAACAGACGTCAGTCGCATAGAGGCAAGACGTTCACCATCGAATCTACGTCTTCTAACATATCCTAGACGTCATCAGTTCATAATCCTGTCTAAATCGTCTTGTCTACATACACGTCATCAGTCAACATGTTCACCATCCTGTCTAAACCGTCATGTCTACGTACACGTCATCAGTCAACATGTTCACCATCCTGTCTAAACCGTCATGTCTAGTGTCTACGTACACGTCATCAGTCAAGATGTTCACCATCCTGTCTAAACCGTCTTGTCTACGTACACGTCATCAGTCAAGATGTTCACCATCCTGTCTAAACCGTCATGTCTAGTGTCTACGTACACGTCATCAGTCAAGATGTTCACCATTCTGTCTAAACCGTCTTGTCTAGTGTCTACGTACACGTCATCAGTCAAGATGTTCATCATCCTGTCTAGACCGTCTTGTCTACGTACACGTCATCAGTCAAGATGTTCACCATCCTGTCTAAACCGCCATGTCTAGTGTCTACGTACACGTCATCAGTCAAGATGTTCACCATTCTGTCTAAACCGTCTTGTCTACGTACACGTCATCAGTCAAGATGTTCACCATTCTGTCTAAACCGTCTTGTCTACGTACACGTCATCAGTCATCAGTCAAGATGTTCACCATTCTGTCTAAACCGTCTTGTCTACGTACACGTCATCAGTCAAGATGTTCACCATCCTGTCTAGACCGTCTTGTCTACGTACACGTCATCAGTCAAGATGTTCACCATCCTGTCTAAACCGTCTTGTCTAGTGTCTACGTACACGTCATCAGTCAAGATGTTCATCATCCTGTCTAGACCGTCTTGTCTACGTACACGTCATCAGTCAAGATGTTCACCATTCTGTCTAAACCGTCTTGTCTACGTACACGTCATCAGTCAAGATGTTCACCATCCTGTCTAAACCGTCATGTCTACGTACACGTCATCAGTCATCAGTCAAGTTGCTCTCCAACTATGGTACCTGTCTCCAGCCTGACTTGAAGTCTTCGATCTATACCAGGGCAGCGTCAAGTCATGCGTGTTCACCCATGCGTGACTAATGATCTCACACAATCAACTTGAAGAGCTCCCAGCCATTTGTCTGTGTGTGCTACTCAGCTGAAATCACCAGTTCCGGAGCTTGTGGACGTTTGAATGTAAGGACAGAGTTATTTTAAGGTGGGGGTGGGGGGGGGGGGGGGTTGTGGTTTTGTAGGTGTGGAGCATTAATTTTTTTATCAAGGTATTTCAGTTCTGGGCTGGATGTTAGCTAGATGTAAGGATGGTTTAGCTGTTTGCATGTACGTTTTTGCTGTTTTCTAGCTGTACGGTTGGTTTAGCTGTTTGATAGCTGTAAGGATGGTATAGCTGTATGCACATATGTTTTAGCTGTTAGCTAGCTGTAAGGGTGGTATAGCTGTATGCACGTAGGTTTTAGCTGTCAGCTAGCTGTACCTACACCAACACCTACATAGCTAACACTCACCCACATAGATCCCCCTGAATGCGAGATAACTACAAATACATGACGTCATTGAAACTCCATTGTAGCACACAAACAGTGACCCCTATAGGTGGGGTAACAGTAACCCCCAGAGGTGGGGTAACAGTGACCCCCAGAGGTGGGGTAACAGTAACCCCCAGAGGTGGGGTAACAGTGACCCCCTTAGGTGGGCTAACGGCGCGTGACGACGCAATCTACCGCATCCACCAGCAGTTAAATCGCAGACAAATTTCTGGGTAACGCAATAAAATTGCCGCGACCGACAAGGTTAATCGAATTTGTTTTCCATTTCCCCTGGAAAATGTTGAGGTTATAAATATGTAAAATAGAGAAAAAAGTTTGTCTGGCCCCCAAAATATCGTTGCATTTCATTTTTTATTAAATGTAGGAAAAACATTTCAATTCAAAATTTTTTTTTTATTGCCAAATGTTAAAAACATTCCGTCTTGTAAAGAATTGGTTGTCATCAGGTATTGTGTTTATAGCTTCGACTCTTGACCTGAAATTGGCTTAGGGTTTTATTTAGTCTGGTGGAAATGTGTCAAAAATAATCGCTGTTTTAGACGTACTTGCAGAAATTGATGTCGTAACTGTCTTACAGCTATAAAATAGGCGTAATATTGATCGTAAATTTAATGCATGTAGAATAGTTATGACCAAGGTAAACATAGTGAGTTTTAAATATTGACTACATAAAGTATATAATATTACATGCAAATACTTATAGCACAGGCTAACACAAAGACACACACGCACAGACATACATATTTATACATGTATATATATATATATATATATATATATATATATATATATATATATATATATATATATATATATATATATATATATATATATATATAGTTGTTATAAGCTTCCTTATGCCTTAAGATGACAAAATATTCCACGTGAAACAGACTGAAGATTTGCATTTCCATTTTCACGTTAGAAAACGACACCGTAAAACATTTTTATGCCCTCCCCGTGTTCCACCTTTCTTCTCCCAGCTTCCCTCCCCCCCCCCTCCCCCAACTTCCCAGCGTTCAAAGCGAAGCACCAAAAAAAAAACTTGCAAGTGCTAGTCTCGCGTGGTAGCAATAAGAACGGCGTCCAGGCGTCACTGCGACTCCTATCTCCGAGGTTTATGACGCGGAGAAAACATTTTTGTACGCGCTAGAATGGTTGCCGGCCATACAAAACAACAAAAACACATTTTTTTTTATTTCCTTGAGAAAAAAATGAACGGAAAGCAATAAAAGGGATAAATGATGGCTAGGAATAATTTTTTTAAAAAGTTTGTTCACATTTTTTCACTTTAACACCTTAAGGATGTTCATTTTGAAAGGTGTTGCGCGCGCAATGTTAATTGGTACTTCAGCACATTATTTTGATTTCAATGAATTTTTTTTAATAAATGATGTAATAGTTTATCTTGTGTAAGTCATGGGTATCAAATACCACAAGAACAGGAAAAAAATGAACGAGTTGTCTAACATTATTTGTTTACATCGGGTTGAAAGATCGAAAAATCTGGGGGCATCGAGTGAATGGGGTGAGCGATGAGATATGGGTAGGACCAAGTTATCAATCGGTTTTATTTGATCACTTTTGTATTGAATATTAGAAACGCTGTAAGGGTATGTTCGTCCTTATGTTACATTTGTAACATTTTCAATGTTTTTTTTTCTTTGTAAATTCGTGCTACGTAAGAGAGAGTTTATTGCATATATGTAACAAAATCATTAGGTAATCTAGGTAAGCGACATATTGGTCTCTATGTTACATATTCATTGTTCAATCTATTTAAGAGAAGCGTTGACAACTATGTAACATACTCTATGTGTTGTCTATGTAAGAGACATATGGGTCTCTATTTAACATATTAAATAAGGTCATTTTTGGCTACATTAGAAAGATAAGCATCTAGACTTTTTAAATAATGACTTGTTCGAGGTTCATATAGTGCTGGGTTCAACTATGTTCATTTTTTCCTCATATGAAAGGCATATCCCATAACAGTTTATAGGTTTAGTACGGTAACCCAACCTTTATGTAAGCGCTCATTTCTCAATCGCCCGTGTACCCACTATATGTCCAACCTTCCCAAATTTTCCTCGCTGTACATCGCCCATAAGTTTCGCCCATAGTTTGACGTCAGCACCACTGAAACAGCCACCTTACTTACTTACTTACTTAATCCTCATCACTCCCTGTTGAGTATAGGGCAGCAACAAATCTCCGCCATTCCACCCTGTCCTGGGCGAGCCACTTTAGTTCATGCCAGGTTTTGCCAGTAGCCTGTACTTCTTCTTCCATCTCCCTCCTCCATGTTCCCAGTTTCGCCCATAGTTTGACGTCAGCACCACTGAAACAGCCACCTACAGTGCTATAAAGCGTCAAGCCCCAGTTACCTGTATTTGCATATATATTAGAAATAAACTTGTGCCGAGGTCGGATAGAACACTCTCACGGCGCGCGACGATGGGCCAGGAAAATGGATTTCTCTCAACAAGGAATTGTAAATCAATAACAGATAAAAGACAAGCAAGCAAGAAGCCGAGCTGGGTGGGGAGGGGGAGGGGCTGCTGATTTACTAGCGAAAGTTGCTAATTTCTTCCAGATTACATCACGCAAAAAATCTGGCAGAAATTAGCGAGGAAATGGTTGTTGAGACCCGGGCCTGCGTGAGTCAAGATTTGATTCTTGTGGGGGTCACTGGGTGTCTGGATGCTGGGAATGGACTCGTTGGGTGACTTGGTGCTGGGAATGGGGGTCGCTGGGTGTCTTGATGCTGGGAATGGGGGTCGTTGGGTGTCTGGATGCTGGGAATGGGGGTCGCTGGGTGTCTGGATGCTGGGAATGGGGGTCGCTGGGTGTCTTGATGCTGGGAATGGGGGTCGCTGGGTGTCTTGATGCTGGGAATGGGGGTCGTTGGGTGTCTGGATGCTGGGAATGGGGGTCGCTGGGTGTCTGGATGCTGGGAATGGGGGTCACTGGGTGTCTGGATGCTGGGAATGGGGGTCGCTGGGTGTCTTGATGCTGGGAATGGGGGTCGCTGGGTGTCTTGATGCTGGGAATGGGGGTCGTTGGGTGTCTGGATGCTGGGAATGGGGGTCGCTGGGTGTCTGGATGCTGGGAATGGGGGTCACTGGGTGTCTGGATGCTGGGAATGGGGGTCGCTGGGTGTCTTGATGCTGGGAATGGGGGTCGTTGGGTGTCTTGATGCTGGGAATGGGTGGGGGGTGGGATGTAAAAGATATGTGGGGTCGCAACCCCCCCCCCCACACACACACACAAACACCAGCGTTCATTAAAATGTAATTGGTACATGCAGCATTTATTGCTGCTAAAGATGTAATGGAGAGGGGGGGGGGAGCTGTGACCCCCCATTTGCCAGGTTACACCTCTGTACATTATCTGGGCTGGGGGCGCTCATGCATGGTGAAATTATCCTGTTCGGATTTGGTGCCAACAGTGGTTGATGGAATCTCTGGAATCTGGAGTTAGGGTGGTAGTGTGGGTTGATGTGGAGTGGTAGGGTGGGTTGATGTGGGGTGGCAGGGTGGGTTGATGTGGGGTGGTAGGGTGGGTTGATGTGGGGTGGTAGGGTGGGTTGATGTGGGGTGGCAGGGTGGGTTGATGTGGGGTGGTAGGGTGGGTTGATGTGGGGTGGTAGGGTGGGTTGATGTGGGGTGGCAGGGTGAGTTGATGTGGGGTGGCAGGGTGGGTTGATGTGGGGTGGCAGGGTGGGTTGATGTGGGGTGGTAGGGTGGGTTGATGTGGGGTGGCAGGGTGGGTTGATGTGGGGTGGCAGGGTGGGTTGATGTGGGGTGGCAGGGTGGGTTGATGTGGGGTGGTATGGTGGGTTGATGTGGGGTGGTAGGGTGGGTTGATGTGGGGTGGTATGGTGGGTTGATGTGGGGTGGTAGGGTGGGTTGATGTTGGGTGGTAGGGTGGGTTGATGTGGGGTGGTAGGGTGGGTTGATGTGGGGTGGTAGATTGATGGAGGTTAGGTGATAGAGTGGGTTAAGGTGAGGTGATAGTGTGGGTGGATGTGGGGTGGCAGGGTGAGTTGATGTGTGGTGGCAGGGTGGCAGGGTGGGTTGATGTGGGGTGGCAGGGTGGGTTGATGTGGGGTGGCAGGGTGAGTTGATGTGGGGTGGTAGGGTGGGTTGATGTGGGGTGGTAGGGTGGGTTGATGTGGGGTGGTAGGGTGGGTTGATATGTGGTGGTAGGGTGGTTTGATGTGTGGTGGTAGATTGATGGAGGTGAGGTGATAGAATGGGTTAAGGTGAGGTTATAGTGTGGGTGGATGTGGGGTGGTAGTTTGGGTGGAGGTGGGGTGGTGGATTGGGTGGAAGTGGGGTGGTATGGTGGGTTGATGTGGGGTGGCAGGGTAGGTGGAGGTGGGGGTGGTAGGGTGGGTTGATGTAGGGTGGTGGATTGGGTGGAAGTGAGTTGATAGAGTGGGTGGAGGGTGGAGCTAGGGTGGTTCCAGTTGATCACACACAACAACACTAACATGAGACAGCTTTTGTTCTCCCTGGCAAACGTTACCTAGCGACATCGCCGTGTGCCGCTCCCACGAAACGGTAATTTACCACGCTATTATAAAGGATAATAAAAACAGACGAACTTAATTAAAAACCACATGATTACGTAGCTAATTAGAGCTAATAACTTATTAATAGCCAGTATTTGGTGCGTTTAATGTCTGGATGGGAATTTATCGCTCGAAAATCAGGCGCCGTAGAGTCTTGGAGTTATGGTGCCTAATTTGACTGTCTGGTGCGTAATTTGGCCGACTGGTGCGTAATTTGGCGGGTCTGCGCAGTAATGAACGTCTTCTGGCGTGCTTGCATCCCGCTTTGACGAGCAGTGTCTCTTTCATGTGCCTCAGAAAAGAATGTCAAGAATAGATTGCTCGTGTTTTGGTCTACTTAAAAACTCTTCCAAAAAAGAAAGAAAAAAAAACCTCACACTGTGCTTCGATGCTACATAGACTAATTAGAATGTAAATCTAATTGTTCGGTGTTTCTAATCTTGTTTCTTTCATTCTACAAATTAAAAACAAACTTTGAAGTTCGCCCTAAGTACAGGGAAGTCAAAGCCATTTGAATTTTACATTAAAATACACACCATTGGGAGTTTTAAAATATACAGCCGAAATGATGTTAATAAATTATACAATTGACCTCTCATTACCATGTGGATCTAATGCTAATGTATAACTTGTCAAAAAATTGACTACTGCTTCTGTAATTAATAATAGATAAAAGAAGATTTAATTATATTCCCTAACTCAAAATACACGCCAATCATTAATGCAAATGCGTAGGATGGTTTCAATAATAGCAACGTATTAAAGGTGTGCATATCATTCAGTTGAATTAAGCTAGAATAATAGATCCAAAGACTAATTCAAAACTAGGCTCAAAATGGTAATTGTGTTGGCTAGTAACAAAAGAATGACATCATTTCTATATCTGTAGGTGAACACAGCTCCAAGCACATGTATCAAAGTGGGGGAAAAAAAAGCCATCTTCCATCTTGATTTTTCGCGCCATTGGTAAAAAAAATAATATAAATAAATTAATCTTTTGGTCGTCTTTAAGTTATTGGTCGGTAAACCTGGTCGAAATCACGTGACCTCATCACGTGACATGTGACGGAAATAATGAACCAGCTGACTAGACCACTAGCTAACAGACCTGAGTCAGGCGCCATTTTGTTTGTATTGACACGGTTCTACACGTTAACCTGTTTCATACATGTAAACCAAGCATGACTAGCGTTGATAGTAGACAGCCTTTGTCCATTTCATACAAAACTATTGTCTTTATTTGAAGAGATGCCCGAAAGGAAATCTGATTGTTGTACCTATTTATTTGTTGATAACGTATTGTTTATTTTTTAACCTCGATTGTTGATCGTCCAGTTATACAACCATCACACAATATGACCTTGATATGACCTTCACATAACCTCAATACAACCATCACACAACATGACCTTGATATGACCTTCACATAACCTCAATACAACCATCATACAACATGACCTTGATATGACCTTCACATAACCTCAATACAACCATCACACAACACGACCTTGATATGACCTTCACATAACCTCAATACAACCTTCACACAACACGACCTTCATATAACCTTCACATAACCTCAATACAACCATCACACAACACGACCTTGATATGACCTTCACATAACCTCAATACAACCATCACACAATACAACCTCAACGAGACCTCCACTCCGCCATATTTTCTGCGCCTTCGTGTCCAGCTTCGCTTAACGACGCCGTAAAACGAATCTTATCAAATTCACCATCTCTTTCGGCCAGAGACGGGCGTAAAATATCCCCGCCCCCACCACCAATATGACGCCCCGCGACATGGGGCGCCGTACATCGCAATATCTTGTGACGTTTTATTTTCATGAGAAATGTCCATTTTGTTTTCCCACCACACCACCCCCTCCTCCTGTAGCCTAGATACATACAGTGTATGGTTTATTAAATCCTTTACATAAGATACTTACCTCGGTGGTATATTAAATTCTTTATCTAAGTTACTTACCTTGGGTGGTATATTAAATTCTTTACCTAAGTTACCTTGGGTGGTATATTAAATTCTTTATCTAAGTTACTTACCATGGGTGGTATATTAAATCCTTTACCTAAGTTACTTACCATGGGTGGTATATTAAATCCTTTACATAAGATACTTTCCTCGGTGGTATATTAAATTCTTTATCTAAGTTACTTACCTTGGGTGGTATATTAAATTCTTTACCTAAGTTACCTTGGGTGGTATATTAAATTCTTTATCTAAGTTACTTACCATGGGTGGTATATTAAATCCTTTACATAAGATACTTTCCTCGGTGGTATATTAAATTCTTTATCTAAGTTACTTACCTTGGGTGGTATATTAAATTCTTTACCTAAGTTACCTTGGGTGGTATATTAAATCCTTTACATAAGATACTTACCTTGGGTGGTATATTAAATCCTTTACCTAAGTTACTTACCTTGGGTGGTATATTAAATTCTTTACCTAAGTTACTTACCTTGGGTGGTATATTAAATCCTTTACCTAAGTTACTTACCGTGGGTGGTATATTAAATTCTTTACCTAAGTTACTTACCATGGGTGGTATATTAAATTCTTTACCTAAGTTACTTACCATGGGTGGTATATTAAATCCTTTACCTAAGTTACTTACCATGGGTGGTATATTAAATCCTTTACCTAAGTTACTTACCATGGGTGGTATATTAAATCCTTTACCTAAGTTACTTACCATGGGTGGTATATTAAATCCTTTACCTAAGTTACTTACCATGGGTGGTATATTAAATTCTTTACCTAAGTTACTTACCATGGGTGGTATATTAAATTCTTTACCTAAGTTACTTACCATGGGTGGTATATTAAATCCTTTACCTAAGTTACTTACCATGGGTGGTATATTAAATCCTTTACCTAAGTTACTTACCATGGGTGGTATATTAAATCCTTTACCTAAGTTACTTACCATGGGTGGTATATTAAATCCTTTACCTAAGTTACTTACCATGGGTGGTATATTAAATTCTTTACCTAAGTTACTTACCTTGGGTGGTATATTAAATTCTTTACCTAAGTTACTTACCATGGGTGGTATATTAAATTCTTTACCTAAGTTACTTACCATGGGTGGTATATTAAATTCTTTACCTAAGTTACTTACCATGGATGGTATATTAAATCCCCTACCTAAGTTACTTACCATGGGTGGTATATTAAATTCTTTACCTAAGTTACTTACCATGGGTGGTATATTAAATCCTTTACCTAAGTTACTTACCATGGGTGGTATATTAAATTCTTTACCTAAGTTACTTACCATGGGTGGTATATTAAATCCTTTACCTAAGTTACTTACCATGGGTGGTATATTACATTCTTTGCCTAAGTTACTTACCTTGGGTGGTATATTAAATTCTTTACCTAAGTTACTTACCATGGGTGGTATATTAAATCCTTTACCTAAGTTACTTACCATGGGTGGTATATTAAATTCTTTACCTAAGTTACTTACCTTGGGTGGTATATTAAATTCTTTACCTAAGTTACTTACCATGGGTGGTATATTAAATCCTTTACCTAAGTTACTTACCATGGGTGGTATATTAAATTCTTTACCTAAGTTACTTACCATGGGTGGTATATAAAATCCTTTACGCTATGCCCAGTCGTCTTTACTCTCCTAACGTGGGTGAGGTACCAATCAAAGCTGGGTGGACTCCGTGACATTCTACTTTCTTAATCCCAGATTCGAACTCGAGACTTTAGGGTTAGCAGTGTAGTGCGCATAGCTTTACAAGAAATTTGGATGAAAGTTGTGGGAAAATATAACTTAAGTCTAAAGAAACGTTTACAGTCTTAAAGTCAAGATAAAATTAAAGTAGGAAGATGGGATTTTACCGTACTGGGCTCGAGGTAGTTTACTTTATGTGCGTGTTAACATTACAGCAGGGGCGTAGCGAGGGGGGGGGGGGCGGGGGGTGCGGACCGCACCGGGTGACACCATTTAGGGGGGTGACACCAAGGCAAAAAATAGCAAAATATATAGAGAAAAACTCGAGGTGGGGGTGCAAATCGAAAGTTTGAGGGGGGTGCAAATCGAAAACTCGAGGGGGGGGGGGGTGCAAATCGAAAGTTTGAGGGGGGGGGGTACAAATCGAAAATTTGAAAGTTTGTCCCTGGGAAGGGTCTCTATGCCTCTGGGGGGGGGGGGGGGGTGACACCATTAAGTGCTGCACCGGGTGACACCCGACCTCGCTACGCCACTGCATTACAGCAGTGTTGTTCTATGGTATAGATATTACTTGATTTTTCATTTGTAGTCAACATTACAGATGTAAAATGTAATCTATTACTAGCAGCTGTTAATTAACATTACTTTCCATTTTTGTTTTGATGTTTTATACCATACAGTCTAATAAAGTCAGATATTATAATGTAATTATATTAAAATATATTTTTAGACATTAGAAATTAATAAAGGAATACATTATCAGGAAAAAAAACACATTTTATTCTCCATTTCTAAAGACAAAAAACCCCCACTCCAACATAAAAAAAAAAAAAAAAAACGGCAAGAAAATGGCCAGAAGAGATGAAGAATATGCAAATGGCGGTGATCTTATGGCCGATACCGGAGGCGGGTTACAAAGGGAGGGGACGCCAGACCAGGCTCGCCCGTCCAATGGGCGGTGAGGTGGAAGAACGTCCCGTAGATAATGTGGACATTTCGTTTCGTGGACATAAAAATGTCGTGTAGATGAATACGTTATCTGCTGACCGAGAGGGAAGAGGGGAGGGAGAGAGGCATGGTTGGCCGTGATGACGTCATAGGTTGGATACATACAATTGAGAGAATGGATTGGATATAAAAACTGGAGGGGTTGGATGTATACATTTGAAGGGTTGGATTTATAAACTGGCGGGGTTGGATATATATATATATTGGAGGGGTTGGATATATACATTTGAGAGAATGGATATAAAAACTGTATGGGTTGGATGTATACATTTGAAGGGATGGATGTATACATTTGAGGGGTTGGATGTATACATTTGAGGGGTTGGAAATATAAACTAGAGGGGTTGGATATATACATTGGAGGGGTTGTATATATACATTTGGAAGAATGGATATAAAAACTGTTGGGGTTGGATGCATCCATTTGAAGGGTTGGAAATATAAACTAGAGGGGTTGGATACATAAACTGGAGGGGTTGTATCTATACATTTGAGGGGTTGTATGTATACATTGGAATGGTTGGATATATAAACTGTAGGGGTTGCATATCTTATGTTGATGACGTGAAGGGTTGGCCATAGAGCTCGCCAGTGCCAGGACCAAAGATGAAATATATAGTAGTGTTTGTTACAATGTGATATAAGTGGACATTTTGTCGTTACAGTAAGGGTCCTGTCCTGCTACTAGTTATATACTGCCCTGCTCCTAGTTCAAGTATACTGTCCTGCTCCTAGTTCAAGTATACTGCCCTGCTCCTAGTTCAAGTATACTACCCTGCTCCTAGTTTAAGTATACTGCCCTGCTCCTAGTTCAAGTATACTGCCCTGCTCCTAGTTTAAGTATACTGCCCTGCTCCTAGTTCAAGTATACTGCCCTGCTCCTAGTTTAAGTATACTGCCCTGCTCCTAGTTCAAGTATACTGCCCTGCTCCTAGTTCAAGTATACTGTCCTGCTCCTAGTTCAAGTATACTGCCCTGCTCCTAGTTCAAGTATACTGCCCTGCTCCTAGTTCAAGTATACTGCCCTGCTCCTAGTTCAAGTATACTGCCCTGCTCCTAGTTCAAGTATACTGCCCTGCTCCTAGTTCAAGTATACTGCCCTGCTCCTAGTTCAAGTATACTGTCGTGCTCCTAGTTACAGTATATTGTCCTGCTCTTAGTTCTATGCTGTCTATACTTCTAGTTCAAGTATACTGTCCTGTTCCTACATCAAGTATACTGTCCTGTTCCTACATCAAGTATACTGTCCTGCTCCTAGTTTAAGTATACTGTCGTGCTCCTAGTTCAAGTATACTTTCCTGTTCCTAGTTCAAGTGTACTGTCATGCTCCTAGTTCAAGTATACTGTCCTGTACCTAGTTCAAGTATACTGTCCTGCTCCTAGTTCAAGTATACT